GAAAGCATGAATGGGGTGGTGCAGAGGGAAAAGAGAAAGGCAGAAAGAGGAGAAGAAGCAGGCTCCTCACTGAGCTGGGACCCAGACAGGGGGCTGGATGTCAGGACCCTGAGATCATGATCTGGACCCAAACCAGGAGCTGGATGCTCAACTAACTGACCCGCACAGGCATCACTGCTTTCAGTATTTTTAATTTGTCTTTAGTTTTCAGCAATTTGATTTTGATGTTTGTGGGCATGAGTGACTTTGGATTTATCTTTCTTGCTCAGCTTATTTAATCAGCCTCTTGAATCTTTAACTTTTCACCAGACTTACAACATTCTCAGCCATGATGTCTCCAGACATTTTTTTCAACACTTTCTCTTTTCCTATGAGACTGATGACAGGAACGTTAGACCTTTTATTTTTGCCCCACAGATGCCTGAGTTTCTGCTCAATTTTTTCCTATCTTTTTCGCTCTATTAGTCAGATTAAACAATTTCTATTAATCTGTCTCCAAGTTCAATGACTCTCCTCTGTCATTCTGCCCTTGGATCTATAGTCAATTTGCTTATATATATTTTTTAATTCTAAAATGTTTAATTCTTAAGTTCTATTTGTTTAAAAGTTAAAATAGAAGGTATCAATACCTTCTATTTTTTTTGTCTTTTTAATACGTTCTATTTTAACTTTTGTTTCTGGAGTGTTCATGATTGAACATTTGTAGAACTGTTTTAATGTCTTTTTCAGATAATCCCAACATCTGCATCATCTCATCATTGGTCAATGGTCTCTTCCCATGCAAGTTGAGATTTTTGGATACTTCACATGCCTAGTAATTTTCTATTATATTTCTGGGCATTTTTAATGTTATGAGACTCTGATTCTTGTTTAAATCCTATGGAGGAAGTCAGTATTTTTATTTTAACAAGAACTTGCAATTGTTAGTATAGGTCATACATTCCAACACTCCTTCTATAGCTATATGCCAAAGTCAGTTCAGTTTTCAAATCTTTGACAGTGCTGTTTGGGTCTGTCTCATGAATGCATCACCCAGTGGCCAGTGTGGAACCAGGCAGAAAGCTATCCGTTAGCATAGCTAACATCTTTGGTGTGCCAGTCAGATCTACGATGTGCAGGTCAGGGGTAAGCCCTAGAGTTCATAAACAATTTTATGGGGTTGCTTTCCTGAATCTCTCCCTTTGCACTCTCTTCCCTTTACTTTCCAATTCCCTGGGGCTCCTCATTTAGGTCCTTTGACCCTAAATGCTCCACTTCTGGTGAGCAACTGCCCACTTTCACAATTGTGCCACAGCAGCAGAAAAGCATATAAAAAACAGTGAGGTTTGTCTCTGCCCTATTGGAGTTGGAGCTCTGAATTGGGAAGTAAGAGCACTCTGCTTCAGGGTTGAGCTCCTATGGTTATCGGCTACTTGCCATTTGTGACTCTGCCATGGCTCCTGACACAGGATTGAGTGACTGGAGGCTGGGGTGCAGTGGAGTAAGGTAAGAAGAGAAGGGGAAAAAACCCAGAATTTTCTCCACTGTCTCTGAGCTTTTGGAGTTTCTTTTTCTGCTTTATGAGCCAGACCAGAGGGTTTCTCCAGGGTCTCTCTCTGCCCATCAGTGCTCACTCCCTGGTTTGAGCCAGGTCTGAGGATCCCAGAGGAAAGACAATCACATCAAGACCAATCAGTGGTGCTTCAAATTCTGGCATTCTTTGATCTGGCTGGAGATACTTGCTTCTCAGAGACCCCAAACAGCTGTGCCGTGATTTTCTGTTCAGGTTTTATAGTGGTGTTTGGGGGGAGAGAAAGGTTCTCATGTGTTTACTCCATCCATTTTACCAGGAATCAATACTTCCTTCCTGTTCTTGAAATCTCTCCTTAACCGTTCTCATAGCTTCTTTGTTCTCTACACTTTCTCTAATCCTGAAATCAAAATTTCCATTAGCTCAGATTTGGCTCTCTTCTTTTCTCTGTATGTTCTCTATTTTGGAGAGATCACCCATGTCTAAAGCATCACAGGATCCTCTGAGGCAGTTAATTCTTATAAATGGGGGATCTTTATTACTGCCCCCATCCCCAGAGATGTAAGGGGGGACTACCATTCCATTTCAAACTCAAAGTGTCTTTTCCTTATGCTATCTGTTCTGTTAATGATGCTTTCTTCCACCTGAAACCCACCTAAAGCCCTTGTATAGTCAGTTCTGTTAGAACAGGGTACATATATTCCTTCCTATATTACCATGCCATGCAGAATCATGAATAAAAACCAGGGTCTTGGGACACCTGCGTAGCTCAGTTGTTTGAGCCTCCATCTCTTGATTTTGGCTTAGGTCATGATGTTGAGGTCCTGGGATCAAGCTCCCACCTCAGCAGGGAGTCTGCTTGAGGATTCTTTCCTTCACCCTCTGCCTCTTCCCCCTGCTCTGTGTGTGTGTGTGTGTATGTGTGTGTGTGTGAGAGAGAGAGAGAGAGACAGAGACAGAGAGCTCTCTCTAAAAAATAAATAAATAAATAAATAAATAAATAAATAAATAAATAATTTTTAAAACCCATAACAAAACCAGGGGCCTTATGGTAAAATTGGGGTTAGTGACACAACACTCAGAAAAAAAGATAAGAACCTAATGAAAAGGGCGGCACCATCTTAAACATGACACTTTACCTTGAAAAAGACCCGAAGCTTGCTTGTGGCAGTTGGCATGAGAAGGGTTGCAGCCTGTGAGTTACTGTGAAGTGGTAGAGAGAGGATTATCTGTAATTGTTTGAGAAGTTGTAATACTGGATATGGATGAGTGTGGCTCATAACACACAGGATGAACTGAAGATACTGGTAGATGGTGAAGGGTGTGCAGGGGTGTTTTGTGCATTCCTGTACAGCATGGGTCAGCGGGGGGAAGTTTCCTGCATTTACCTAGTGTTTTTCCAGGGTGAATTACACACAAATGGGAAAATTGTGTTATGCTCAAATTATTTAATACCTTAATCATATTGAAACAAACATGCTTTTCAAAAATGCATTACAGCTGGTTGACTGCACTTTATTCCCTTCTTAACTCAATTTCCTGCATCAGGTTGAAACTTGATTATTTTCCCTTCAGAGTTTTCATATTCAAAGTTTCCACATCTCACCTTTTATGCTCTTTAAAAAAATTATTATCATTTAATACATTCATTTCATGATCCTCCTAAATGGTATCCCTCTAATACATGATACATATTGCTATCAGGCTTATCTTTCACATATATAACATACATGGAGTAATACATGTTAATTACATATTAAGCTATACATATAAACAGGGAAATTTTGAATTATTATGGTGTCTATTTCCAACAAAATAGAATTTTATATATTTTATCTTTACATATCATATATATTAATAGTCATATAATTAATATATAATACATAATTTTAAAAAAGATTTTATTGATTTATTTTAAAGAGAGAGAGAGCACAAGCATGAGCAGAGGGAGGAGTAAAAGGGAGAGGGACAAGCAGATTCCATGTTGAGCACAGAGCCTGATGTGGGGCTCAATCCCATGACTGTGAGGTCATGATCTGAGCTGAAACCAAACGTCAGACACTTAACCTACTGAGACACCCAGGTACCCCATTATTAACTGTATGTAATGAATATCTGTACATGTCAATACATATAGATCCACATCATTTTCTTGTGATCAAATTTCCATGATGTAAAATTTACCATTTTAACTGTTCTTAAGTGGCATTATGTACATTCACCTTGTGCAACCATCACCATTCATCTGAACTTTTTCACTATCTCAAATTAAAACTCTGCACCTTATGATAGTGTCATTTTAACAGCCACATGGATGTAACATAATTTTTTCAGAAAACCCTATTTTTAAGTATTTAAGTTTATCCACAACAATTCTTACAGTACATCTTGCACATGCATTCAATTATTTCTGTGTAATAAACTCCTAGAAATGGGATTTGCTAGGGCCCTTTGTACACAGGAGAAATTGGTACAGGTTTTACAAATTTACTCTTATATATGGCTGCGGGGAAGCTTTTATACTCTACATCAACAGTGGCCATTACCATTCTCTTTGCTATCTGTCCATCTGATAAGCAGGTAGCTTCTAGTTATTTAAATTTTCATTGTTTGGATTTCCAATACCGGCTCCGTTTTTAACCCGCATCGAATTATTCTCTTGATTCTCTTGGAAAATATGTCAGTGTAAAAGTAAATAACACTTTTTTTAAAAAGATTTTATTTATTCATGAGAGACACAGAGAGGGAGAGGCAGAGGGAGAAGCAGGCTCCCTGCGGGGAGCCCGATGTAGGACTCGATCAGGGGATCCCGGGATCACGACCTGAGCCGAAGGCAGACGCTCAACCGCCGAGCCACCCAGGCGTCCCCAGTAAATAACATTTCTGATTTAACCCCAAAAATTCTATAATCCTATGCCTAACTTGTAACGTTGAAGCTTTCCCAGCGGGTACAAATGTCAGTGGGATGTGGAGACCTTCCAGCTTCTTTCCCTGTCTCCAGAAGGTACTGCACTCCCTTGGGGCCCACGTCCCTGCCCGCCCCTGGGGCGTGAAGCCCAGCTCTCTGGCTCTGGGTAAGCCCCACAGTTTCCCTCCAGCACTGGTTCTCCATCAACAGCGCCTGGGCATCAGCCGGAGGGCTGGCTGAAGCACACGGGGCAGGACCCCACTGGCCTCCGGGCCTGGATGAAGCCGACAATCTGCGCTCCTAACAGCTTCCCTGGGGGTGGGCAGCCTCGGCGTCTGGTCCCAGGACTACCCTTTGGGGACCACCGCCTGGCCATGAACGATGGGAGGAGCTCTTTGCAAGCAAGGTCCAGATCCTGTAGCTCCCGTCCCCGAGGCCAGCACCCGCTGGGCGTCCGGACTCCAACAACAACAGGTCAACCACACGGGGGCGCCCCGGGGCTGGGAGTGCGCGGTGGGCGGCGGACGCCAGGGGGAGGCCTTGAGCTCGCCTGCGGGGGGCGGGGGCGGATTTCCGGCCGCGCAGGCGCAGAGGCCGCGGGCCGGGCCGGGGGCCTCAGGTAGGCGGTGGCGGTGGCGGCGGCGGAGCCCGCGAGAGCGCGGGGCGCGGGGGCGCGGGGGCGCGGGGGGTCCGGGGGGGTTGGCGGGCTTCCTGCGGGCTCGCCCCTCGGCGGCGGCGGCGGCGGCGGCGGCGGGCTCGAGCGGCGCCCCCTCCCGGCCCCCCGCGGCCTCCTGCCCCGGGTCAGGCGGGCCTCCTGCCCCGTCGGGGCTCGGGCTCGGCGGTGCGGGCGCGGGCGCGGGCGCGGGCGGTGCCGGGGTCCTGCGCGTCCTGCCGGCCCCTCCGGGCGCGGGGCTCCGTGCGGGGGTCGCGGGAGGCCGGCCTAGTCGTGGGGTTAGTAGTCTTGTCCCCTCCGGACTCTAGCACCCTGCGGCCAAGTAAGCGTCCCGGTGCTGTATCTTGTGTCCGTCGGCCGGATGGGATTCTGCCCCACATTGTATAGGGTGAGCCCAGTTCGTTTCTCCTCTGGTCCAATTCAGTATTCTGTGAATCGGTAAAAACTGATTTTGTGCCATAGTTTTGCCTTTTCTTTCTTTTCGTTCTTTCTTTCCTTTTTTTTTTTTTTTTTTTGCCATTGCATTTCTTTCTTTTAAGTCAGCCGTGAGTGTAGAGCAGTGGTTTCGTTTTCCCCATTACCAACGTTTTCCTCTCAATGTCAGAAGTACGTTGTGTCTGATCGGTGCCTGGATTTCTCCTCCCCAGCTGGCCCCACAGTCTTTATTCCTTAACTTGCAACAAAACCACCAACTTGCAGTGTCATTTTGCTTATTTCTGGACAACCAGGTTCTTTTTTTTTTTTTTTTTTTGGACAACCAGGTTCTTTGAGGCATGCAGCCTACCCAGACCCTGGGCAGACCGCTCCAGAAACTTGCCTTTAAAAGAAAAAGGCCGGGCAGCCCGGGTGGCTCAGCGGTTTAGCGCCGCCTTCAGCCCAGGGTGTGGTCCTGGAGTCCCAGGATCGAGTCCCATGTCAGGCTCCCTGCATGGAGCCTGCTTCTCCCTCTGCCTGTGTCTCTGCCTCTCTCTCTCTCTGTGTCTCTCATGAATAAATAAATAAAATCTTAAAAAAAAAAAAAAAGATGAAACCTTCTAAAAAAAAAATAAAAAAAAATAAAATAAAAGAAAAAGGCCCATCAGGTGTTGGGATGCGCTAAAGATTGCTTTAAGAAACGAGCACTCGGGGATCCCTGGGTGGCGCAGCGATTTGGCGCCTGCCTTTGGCCCAGGGCGCGATCCTGGAGACCCGGGATCGAGTCCCACGTCGGGCTCCCGGTGCATGGAGCCTGCTTCTCCCTCTGCCTGTGTCTCTGCCTCTGTGTGTGTGTGTGTGTGTGTGTGTGACTATCATAAATTAAAAAAAAAAAAAAAACGAGCACTCTAGGGGCATCTGGGTGGCTCAGTTGGTTAAGCGTCTGCCTTTGGCTCAGGTCATAATCCCAGGGTCCTGGAATCCAGCCCCCAGCAGGGCTCCCTGCTCAGCGGAGTTTGTTGCTCCCTCTACCCCTCCCCTGCTTGTGGTCTCTCACTGTCTCTCTCTCTCTCTCTCTCTCTCTCAAGTAAATAAAAATCTTTAAAAAAGAAAAAAAAAAAGAAAGAAGTGGGCCGTCTCAAGTCACCCCAGCCCTACAGTGACCATGCTTCAATTAGGTCCAACACCTGAGGGCTGTAGGATATAGAGGAAGAATGTGACTTGGAGGCCAGAAAACTTGGCTCCTCCGCATACAGTTTAGTGACCTTGGCTGAGTCACTTAACCCTGATTCAGTTCTTTTATCTGTGTTTTTTTTTTTTTTTTTAAGATTTTATTTGTTTATTCATGAGAGACAGAGACACAGGCAGAGGAAGAAGCAGGCTCCATGCAGGGAGCTAGATGTGGGACTTGATCCTGGGACTCGATCTCCGTACTCCAGAATCATACCCTGGGCGGAAGGCAGGCCCTAAACAACGAGCCACCCAGGGATCCCCTCTTATCTGTTAAATGGGAGTAATAATAATTCTGTATGCCTCAGAATTGGTGTGAGGTTGACGCTACATAAAAGTTAGTTGGATTTTTGATTGGGTGTTTTTCTCTGAGGACTCAGAAGGGGATGCAAGGACTTAGGGATAACTGAAAGATTATTGCGCCATATTAACTTCAGGGCACAAGAAATGAATTAAATGGGTAACAATCTACTCTAGATTATAAAATATGGATTTCTAGAGTCCCATAGAATTTCCTACCTGATGTTGGCAGCCTTTGTGTGGAAATGAACATGGTATCTTTCCAGAAGAAAAACAGTTTTATAAGCTTTGGGCCCCATCCATCAGTTCTAGTGCCTGTGGCAAGTGGGATAATGTAAGGTCATGGTCAGCGGGGTGAGAATTATAAAGCTGGTGAACTCAGATTGGAGAGGGTGCTGGGGCATCAGAGGACAGGTACACGAAAAGATGAAGAGCAGATTCAGTGTGTGAAAAGCAGGCCGCCTGTGAAGCTGTGAAGACAAGAAGGCCTGAGGGATTACGCAGACAGTGCGTTTTTCCTGAGTCCCTGCTCTGCTCTGGCTGCTGAGGACACAGGTGCACAAAGCCGGCAGGTAGTCCCCTGGGAACTCACACTTAGGGGGAGAAGGAGCACATGCCAGAGCCTGGGCATCTCAGAGCGGTGCCGTCATGAACAGAGGGCCTAGAGTGTGGGCTGCAAGGAGGTGTCAGTAGATGTGGACATAGGCTGGGTCTCAGGGCCTTACGGGACTTTGGACTTAGGACAGAGGAGGACGGTTAGTTGGTTTTAAGCAAGGAGTGATCAGATTTGTGCTTTAGAAAGATCACCCTGTGTATGCCGGTGAAAAACTTCCACACGTGCTGAGGGTGTGTATAGAACTCACTTTGCAGGCTGTGGTATAGCTAAACAGTTGAAAATGGCAAACTAGACTTGCATGCATCTGTATGGATAAATCTCAGAAACCTAACTTTGGGTTTTTAAAAACAAGTTGCAAAGGATGTATACAGTACAGTGCTACTTGTGTAAAGCTTGTAAACGTCCGTATATTATGTGTTGTTATTTATAGGCACATACCAGTGGTGAAAATAAAAAGTATGGGGGAGGGACGCCTGGGTGGTTCCGTTGGTTAAGCATCTGCCTTTGGCTCAGGTCGTGATCCTGGGGTCCTGGAATTGAGCCCCGAGTCTGGCTGAGTGGGGAGTCTGCTTCTCCCTTTGCCCCTCACCTCGCTTGTGCTCTCTCTCTCTCTGGATCTCTCTCAAATAAATAAAATCTTTTTTTTTTAATGTGGGATTTACATACACTTGTGGTTCTCAGATTTTAGCATGCATCTGAATCACCTGGAAGACTTGTTAAAACACACATTTCCGGGCCTCACTTCGGAGTTTCTGATTCAGGAGATCTGGAGTGAGGACTCAGGAACTCACATTTCTCACTAGGTCTTAGCTGCTGCTGCTGCAGGTCCTGAGACCGCAGTTTAAGAACCATTGATGTACATCAGCTTGTATACATGGGGGTTACTTCCTGGGAGCGAGCAGAAGAGGACTGGGAGGGACCTAAGGGGGCTTCAACTACCTATGTAATATTTTATTTCTTTAAAAAAGAGCTTTAGGGGCAGCCCGGGTGGCTCAGCGGTTTAGCGCCGCCTTCAGCCCAAGGCCTGATCCTGGAGACCCGGGGTCGAGTCCCACGTTGGGCTCCCTGCATGGAGCCTGCTTCTCCCTCTGCCTGTCTCTCTCTCTCTCTCTCTCTCTCTCTCTCTCTCTCTCTCTCATGAATAAATAAAATCTTAAAAAAAATCTTCAAAAAATCTCGCTTGCTGATGCACTGTTACTTGACAAAGCTGGATGGGTGTTCATGATCTTATTTTTTAGTTTTTTTCTACGCTTGAAACATTTCAGGAAAGAAACAAAACACTATTTGTTGTGTGAAGAATGGCCTGGAAAAGAGAAAGAAGTGGGGGTCCATGCAGGAAACGGTTGCAAAAGCCCAGGTAAGAGGTGCTGGAGACTTACAACAGGGAGTGGTAGTAAGAAGGGAGAAGTGAGCAGATGTGAGAGAGGTTTGGGTGATCGAATTGACTGTACGTGGTGATTGGCTGGTGTAGAGACTGGGGGAAGGGGAGCCTAGTCACCTGTTCCGTGACTTGAGCAAGTGGGTGGGTGGTCTCCCTGTCACAGTGAGGGAGCCCTGGAGACAGGGCATGCTGGTCACGGAAAGAGCTCAGTTAATGGATGTCCCAGGCTTTGATGTGCCACCTGAGGGAAGTGTAGGGGAGAGATCTGGCCACTACTGGTCTTTCTAGGTAAAGACCTAGAAACTACTAGAAAGACCTAGAAACTACTGCCATCGCCATGTGCCTGGTGAGATTACATAGAAGAAATGCGCAGGATGGAGGGATGGTTTGCAACAGACTCCAGGGAATAGCATCACACAGGGCTCAGCCAACTTTGGCCCACCACTTGTATTATTATGAATGCTTTTTACCTTTTCAAATGTTGAGAGGAGAATCAAAAGAGGAATAGTCTTCTGTGACACATGAAAACTATATGAAATTCAAATTTCATTGTCCATAAATAAAGTTTTATTCAAACGCAGCCACCCTCACTTGTTTATGTAACGTGGGGGCTGCTTTCACGCCCTGGTGACAGAGTCGAGTGACAGTGACGGCTTGTGGCCATCATGGCTTTCCATGGCCGCTTGGGTGCGCCACAAGTCATGTGATGCAGTTGTCACTGGATTTCAGCTTTTGGCCCATAAACCTAGATATTCACCATCTGGCCCTTTACAGAAAAAATTGCTGTTTCTGGACCCAAGGTCTAAGCTGAAGCACACTTGGTCATGTTGAATGTTCTAGAAGAGAGATGGCAGGTGTTTTATCCATTTCCTCAGGAGCACCTTCTAAGATTCAGGTACTGACAGAAGCAGCCCAACAGGCTATGAGGGCCAAGAGGTCAAAGTCGTCAGAGTTTTAGTCCAAGTCCCTGAAGCCAGGGGGAAGGGCCAGAGAGAAAGATGTGGACCAGGGGTCTTTGTGGGAAAGGTGAGTGAACAAACGTCACAGCACTGACGGGTGTGGCTGGAAAGACTGAGGGGTGGGTGAGCAGATGCCACCCTGTCAAGAAAAGGGGGAGACTTGAGTGAGGCTGGAGCAGTTCAGGAGAGCCAGCATTTACTGAACACCTTGTCAGCACAACAGGGGTAGGCAAAGCATCAGTTTTTAAAAATGAATTAGGAAGAACTACAGTGGGTTCTAGAAGAGTCCATCACTCCTAAACTGCCTTGTTCCACGGAAGTGGTGTTGCCAAGCTGACCCTTGACATGCAGCCTCCCTGGAGCTGGGTCACTCACTGAGGTTCGGAACACAGAAAACAGACAGCATGTTGGTGGGGAAAGAGCAAATGTGATGTTTGGGGAAGGATTTTTCTTATCTTTTTAAGTTGAGATATAACTCACATACCATTAAATTTGCTTTTTAAAGTGTACAGCTCAGTGAGTTTTAATATATTCACAAGGTTGTACAGTCGTCAGCACTAATTCCAGAACATTTTCATCCTAAAGGAAACCTCATAGCCATGAGCAACCACCCCTCACTTCCCCTTTCACTCAGACCTGAACAAAACAATCACTGATGTGCTTGCTGTTCTGGACATTTGATATAATTAGAACCTTCTGTGTCTGCCTTACTTCACATTGCATAAAGTTCTCGAGTTTTATCCCTATTCCAGCATGTATTTGCACTTTATTTCTTTTTATGAGTGATTAATATTCCATGTTTGGATATATCAGATTTTATTTGTCTGTGGATCAGTTGATGGACTTTGGGTTCTTTCCACTATTTGCTACTATGAATAATGCTGCTGTGAACTTCCATGTTCATATAAGTCTTATGTTTTCATTTCTTTGGGGCACATACCGAGCAATGGATTTGCATGGGTAACTCTGTGTTTAACCTTTCAAGGAACTTCCAGACTGTTTTCCTCAGCGGCTGCATCATTTAATATTGCCATAAGCAATGTATAAGTGTTCCTGTTTTCCTTCATCAACACTCATTCTTGCCTGACTTCTTTGATAACAGCCATCCTAGTGATCCTAGTGGGTATGAGATGGGATCTCATTGTGGTTTGATTTTTTTTTTTAGATTTTATTTATTTATTTGAAAGAGCGAGTGATAAAGCACAAGTGGAGGAAGGAGAGGGAGAGGGAGAAGCAGACTTCCTGCTGAGCAGAGAGCCCAACATGGGACTCAACCCCAGGACCCTGGGACTATGACCTGAGCCAAAGGTAGATGCTTAACCGGCTGAGCCTCCCAGGCGCCCCACGTTGTGGTTTTGATTTGCCTGTTCCTGATGACTAATAAAGTTGAGCATCCCTTCATGTGCCTGTTAGCTGTCTGCATATCTTCTCTGGATAAATGTCTGTTCAAGTCTTATGCCCATTTCTGGAATGAGTTATTTGTCTTTTTTACTGTTGAGGAGAAACTGTGTTTTGGAATTGTCAGTGGGACATCCAAGTAGAGATGTCAAGGAAGCAAGGGTGGTGTTGTGAGGAGGCTGGGACTGCGGCTTTCCACCAGGAGCTGTCAGCACGTGGGGACAGAGAGCCTGAGTCTGGAGAAGATCACCCAGGGCATGAGTGGAGTGACAAGGGTGTTGTCATGGTGGAGAAGTTCAGGTGCACTGGTAGTGATTTGGGAGCAGAGCAGGGGCAGTGTACTAAGCAGGCGAGGTTGGGGGGGGTTCTTTGCCCTAGCATAGGGCTGGGAGCTCAGGTCAGTTTGTTGTCTTGTCACTGCAGCAGAGAAGGGATAGGGGCAGGGACCTGCAGTGAGGTGTTGGCCGCTGTGGCTCTCTGCTTGCCTCTGTGTTTGCAGGAAGATAGGAAACAAGACCATCAGCTGAGAGTAAGTTCTGGAAGAAGTGACACAAGTTTGAAAAGAGCGGGGCCTGGGCCACCAGGACGAGCCTACCAGGTTTAATGGTGCATTGCAACAAATGAGACCATGGAGTGATGGAATATGGCCCCTCACTCAGAGGAGAAGAGAGTTACCGCAGAATCTAGGAGTGGCTGGAGTTTAGGCAGAATTTAAAGGAGGCGATGTTTTGTTGGGCTCAAAGTCAAGCAGGGTGGCCTGTGAGGAGCTCAAGATCTGATCTGGACTGCAAGGTGGACTGTGGTCTGGTTCCCGGGAGACCGCAAGGCTCACATGGATGGTGAATGTCATCTCCAGACTTTGCTCATCTGCAGCTCTGCACCCAGTGGGAAGTAGAGGCTTCCAGAGAGTCAGAGAAGACTTACTTCCCCCAGCAAGAACGGGGTGCTTTCCTCTTCTTGGTAGGACTTCAAAAGACAAAATTTCTGATAGTCTGTGACTTTAGAGAGCAGAGTTTCTCGGTGAGAAAGAAAGCAGCCATCATTCAGAGAAGGGAGGTGTGGGTACTTAGACCTGCAGTGTGTCCTTAGGAGAAATGCCGTTTGCTATGAACTTTGCATCTGGCTCCATCAGTGTCCGTTGTCCCAGCTCTGAATGGCAGGTGGATTTACTGCCTCCAAGACAGGGTATGAAAGAGCTGTCTTCTGATTTTCTTCATGGCTTTTGCCTCTCCGGCTGCTGGTTTCTGTGTGAATCCTCAGAGCAATCTTCTGGGCCGGCTGCATCCAGGGCATTTCCTCCCTGTTACTCTCTCTCCTCGAAAGCTCATCACAATATATAAGGAGAAGCTTTTTGCTCACTTATTTATTAGCTCCTCCACTGGTTTCTCCCTAAGGTATAGGAGGACAGGAACCATGTGTGTTTCATCTACTCACAGATCCCCAGTGCCTAGAGCAGGGGTGAGCCTGTGGAAACGGCGTAGTGCACATTGAGTGACCAGCATTTAGCGTTGGTGGTAGAGGGAGCAGATGGGAGCCAGAGAGGCGGGGGAGAGGTAGGACTCTGAGCCCCGGGAAGCTAGCAGGGCTTCACAGTGGCATCCAGGCTGTGGGAGGACTTCCTGCTGCTGCCGCTCTAGAAGAGACACCTGAGGGACCTAGGAGGGCCCCTGGAGGAGACCATTTCAACTGTTGCCATTTGTCTATGTGCAGAGTTGCGGTTTTCTTTCAGCAAACCTTTTTGGTACTTTGTGGCAGAATGTTTTCAAACCACTGCCCAGGGCCGACCAGGATGCTGAGTGACCCAGGTGTCTGGGTGGAGACCTGAGCTGGGAGAAGGAAGATGCTCCTGGAAGGTAACCCTGCCTGTCACAACCATGTCGGGCACAGGAAGCACGGGGTCAGTTCCATCACTCGAGCCCCCCATGTGTCCCAATACGGATGTTACAGATGTTCAGCAAGCACACTGCTGTGACCATCTCCCCTGTCAAAGTATTGACACACTTCCACTCTGCTTCATAAGTAGCTTCTGCCGCATGCACCCTGAGTGTCAGGCACCTGATGTCCACAGACCTTCCAGGCCCTTCCCTCTGGTCCCTCTGCTGCTCACAGCTAGGCCATAACACCTACCTCCCCCATGAGCCTCACGCCAGCTCCAGTCTAGAGCTGAACTAGTGAGTGTCCAGTCTTCTGAGGGGTCACTTGGTGCGAGGACCACCTTGCGGATCATCTCCGCTCTCACCACCGTTACCCTGGCTCGTTTGCTCCTCAGGTCTCACCCCACACTGTTGCAGGGTCCTTCACCCAGTCTCCCCACCTCCATCTCTTCCACCCCAAACACATCTCTCACACCTGGTGAAGGGTAGCCTTGCTTCCTAAGGAGCTTCTGGTACCTTCCAGGGACTATCCAAACTTCCCAGCTGGGTTCAAGAGGTCATCAGCATCCTCACCGCCACGCCCCCCACCCCCATCCCGTCTGATCCCCGGCTGCTCTCCTTGTCCGTCTTCTGCCCTGGCCCCACTGGACCAACATGGGCAGCTTGTTTTTAATTTTGCTCTACTGCTGTGAAAGAGAGACAGACACAATCACATAACAAACACCTTTCTTCTAACAAAATCCGGAGGGGGTGAACCCAGACTAGCTCATAGTAAAAAGAAGTGATTATGGGACGCTGACATTGAGGATTTAGAGTGAGCCTAGTATGCAGTACCTTCTCTAATCCTCATGAGGACACTATAGCATGCAGGGTCCTTGGGCCTAAGAGGCTGTTCCTTCTTTAATCCCTTGTCAGCCAAACATTGTACTGGACATAAGAGCTGATTGTTACTGCTTGTTTGGTTTTCCATGGCAGGAGCTTGCAGCTGATAGCAGCATGGACAAGAAAACCCAGGATGGCAGCAGAGGCCCCCGCCACAGAGCACTGCCCCCAGCTGTGGGGCTGCTGCTGTCCATGGCACTCATGAACGCACTCCTCTATCTCTGCCTTGACTGGTTCTTTGTCGCCCCTCCGCGCTCTTCTCCAGTCTCCACCCATTGTCCCCACGGACACTTCAGAATGGCACAGATGAAAAACTGTTCACCGTGGCTGTCTTGTGAAGAGCTTAGGACCGAAGTGAGGCCACTGAAGCGCATCGGGGAAGGAGCTGTGAAGAGAGTGAGTTCTGGGTTACCTCTGAATGTTAATGGGGAAACCTTCCAGGATAGCACCTTGGCATTGTGTGTTAAGGGTCATCAAAATATTTCTACCCTGTGGCCCCATGATCTCACATCTGGGACTGATCCTAACCCATTGGAAGGAAGAAAGCTAAATGTACCAAGAAGTACGTTGCTTTGTTATTTATAGCAATAGAAAGCCAGTGATGATACCTGTAAGGGAATAGTTAATTATGGTCCAGCCACTTGATAGAATATTCTGCAGCCTAATGTGTGCTTAGGAGACCCGTATAGCAACATGGAAAGAATCTTATGAGGATGAGCGGAAACAAAATGCAAAATTGTCTGTTACATGATTTTCAATTGCAAAATGAATGCATTCATGTAGAAAAATACACAAATGGTAGAAATTGTGTTATGGTGAAAGGTTACAGGTAGGTTTTTCTATTCTTATTTTTTAAGTCTTATCATGGTATTATATTGACTTTTTAAAAGCTTTTTATTTTAAAAAGAGAAACCAAAGCGGTGAGTTCAGATAGAAGCTTCAAGAGCACTTGTCTTGTAGGCAAGCAGTGTATGCCGGCTGCACTTTGTCCACTATTGGTTCTGTGGTAGCTGAGGCCCACTGATGCAGCAGGGTCCCTGGAGGCCACTTAAGGATTGTTGCACAAAGTTCCTTTGTGAGGATGTATTCAGTGATGGGCAAGAGAGGAAGGGAACAGAAAATACATCCATGGGCCTGCAGCTTCATGGACTGCTGGCTTTTGTTTTGGTAGACTGGGGTACCATAAATGTGGAAAGTAGATACCTTGAAGAAGTCAGGGAGAAGGCAAAGCAATTTGTGTAAAGTAAAACAAGGTAACTGGTTCTTTTAAAGATTCATTCATTCATTGTGGTACCAGAGGTATGACAGTGAATTAAACAAAGACCCTTGAAGCTTTCTAGTTGTGGGGTGAGACAATGATTAAGAAACAGATATGCAATAAAATATGTTAATGACACGTGCTATGAAGACAGCAGGGCAAGGAAAGAGAGCCATGGCTCGTTTGTTAGTCTAGGTGGTCAGAATGACCTGAGAGTGAGCCATCTGGATATTTGGGGAAAATATATTCCAGTAAGAAAGATGAGTCCCAGCAGAGGCCCCAAGATGGAACATGCCTGGTCATTGGGGGACCAGGAATGAGCCAGTGTGACCAGAGGGTAGGATGAGAAGAGAGATAGCATGTAAGGTCGAAAAAGGCCAAGTGGTGGCCAGAGCATGTGGGCCTGCTGGGACCAGGAGAGCCATTGGAGTAATTTGAGTAGAGAGAGGAGGTATTGTGTTGGTGAGGGTGGAAGATTGGTTAGGCCTTGCAGGGGAGAGATGGTCACAGCTTGACAAGAGTGTCAGCAGTGAACGTAGTGAGAACTCATTGGATTCTGGTCATGTTTTAAAGGCAGAGCCAGTAGGATTTCCCAATAGATCAGTTGTGGGGTGTAAGAGAGGGAGGAGGTAACCACCAGGCTCTTGATCCAGGCAACAAGAAAAATACAGTTGTGGTTACCTGAACGGGGAAGACGGGAAGAACAGATTATGTGTGCACATGAGGTGAACATGTTAAGGCCCTGAACGTGAACTTGGTTACACTGCTGGTTGCATGGACGAGTCTAGCATTTGGGTCCGGGGCAGTGGGTAGAACATACATCTGGGATGATCTTGAAAGCATTAGGATGAGAAGAAAACACCAGAGAGGGATGTGGGTAGAGAAGAGGGCTTGGTCTATACCTGGTTGATTTCTGTCTTTTTCAAAGAGATGACCTTGAGGGGCTGACCTCTTGTTTCTGTGTTACTTAGATCATTTTTGAATTTTTTTCAGAATTGCTTGAAGATATATTTTTGGGTAGGTAGCTTTTTTTTAAAAATTTATTTATTTGAGAGATAGAGCAGGGGGAGGCGGCAGAGAGAGAGGGAGATGTTAAGCAGACTCCCCACTGGGTGTAGAGCCTGACGGAGTGCTCGATCTCACGACCCTGAGATGATGACCTGAGCTGAAACCAAGAGTCTAATGCTTAATGAACGGCACCACCCAGGTGCCCCTTGGGTAGTAGCTTTGATGGTGGCAAATTGTAGTTTGAGGACAGATTGGCATTTGGGGAAGCTCTACCAATCATGCCCATGCAAATGTGGGGTTTTAAAATGTGGATAATACCTCTGAGTAATGTAGTTTTGTTTATTAAAGTGAAGTATGGCTGTAAGGCCATGACATTGATTTTCTTGTGTCTTTGGCTGAAATTTACCGTCAGGGCAGAAGTATTTTGCATCCTGGACCTTAGCACCACCAGTGGAGAGTCTTGCTTGTCTCTGCCCCTTGAGCCCCGAGGGCCCTTGAGCAGCATAGGGCAACCTCTCATTCTTCCACATGGGCACTTACTTGAGCAGCTCCCCGTGGAACATGTTGCCCATCACTGATACCAGCTCCTCTCCACACCGGCACCTTCCTCACTGGCACCGTAAGCCGGAAGGCATAAGCTTCTCAGTAGGAGTTTCTGTGACCCAAGTTCTGGGCACTCTGCTGTCAGACCTCCACCTCCTCTCCCAGGGCCCCTGCTGGAGTACTTCCTCCAGCTCATTGGGACCTCCAGCGTGCTGATCCTGTGGTGGTGTCACTTTCCCCCATTTGCCCAGCAGCGAGGTCTCAAAGTCAGTCCTGTGCAGACGCATGCAGCAGCTCCTCTGCGTCTCTCTCCATTGTGCCTGGCCGGAGAGGCCTGAGCCTGGGGGACCCCAGCTGTGCCTCTGCACTTGAGTGACTGCCCTGGAGGGAGGTTGAGAGAAGCCCCACAGCCCTGTGGTTTCATGCACGGCCACAGACCTTGCCACGTACTCAGCACGGCCCAGCAGTCCTACTCTGTTCCCTCTGTGGTTTTTCCCCCGCCCTTGCCTTCGCTGATGGTCTTGTGGCAGAAGTTGTTATGGAAACATGAGCTGCCCAAATGGAGCTTCTTCATCCTCTGCCAGCATACCTGTAAGCCCTCCTGCTCAGGTGTGGTGATGTCTCATGATGTCCTCCCTGAAGCTATGCACTTTTCTCTGCAGACTCAGTCGGCCCCTCTCCTGAGGGTCCTTCTGACTGGCACGCAAACACAGACTTGCACAACAGAAATCCCCTTCCCAAATCCCCTTCCCCAGAAGCTGTGTGCATGCTCTGCTTCCTCTTAATGAAGCTACCAGAGCTCCGTCCCTCCTTTTCTTCTCCATTCACTTCTTGTCTGCTGCCAGGATGGCTTCCAAGCACCCCTGCTCCAGAAAGACTGCTCCTACCCAGACCCCTGCAGACCCCGGGTCGGTCGTTTATCTGTCTTCCTCTCACCTAATCTGTTCTGCAGCCTTTGATCCCATTGATTCTTCTGTTCTTGCAACCCTGGCTCTCCACACTACCACTCCCTTATAGTTTTCCTGCTCCCTCACTGGCCATTCTAATTACTACCCCTTGTTGGCTTCTGTTCCCTGACTTGCCCCTGAATCAGTGGCTCTCAACCAGAAGTGATTTTGCTCCTCGGGGGTGCATGTAACCAACCCCTTCTTTCCCCAGACTCTGTACTTTGGGTTTGTGTTTGGGATTGGATCAGTGTGCGACATTGCCCTGAAAGGCAGATTGACCCATGCATTTTCTTTGTTCTTTCATTTTCTTTCATTATAAAAGCTGTACATTCAATTCAAATATGCAGAAGGTGAAGTACAAAGTAAAAGTTCCCTTCTACCTCTTGTACTCCCCAGTCTCTGATCTTAATCTCTGGTGATAACAGTGGGAGATTTATCCCTTTTAGATTTTTTTTGTTTTTGGTAAATTTTATTTCATGTGTATTTTTTAATTATGTTTTTATTTTAAATCTGATATTGTTAACCTATAACCCCTTTTAGATTTTTAAATCCAAGATTACATTAAAAGAACCAGGTACAGGGGCACCTAAGTGGTTCAGTTGGTTGAGCATGTAACTCTTGATTTCGGCTCAGGTCATGATCTCAGGGTCCTGGGACCGAGCACCACTTTGGGCTCCATGCTGGACATGGAACCTGCCTAAGATTGTCTCTCCCTCTCTCCTACTTGCACACACTCTCTCTCTCAGAAAAAAAAAAAAAAGAAGAAGAAGAAGCAGGTACATATTCTGTCAGCCATCTCAAAGACAGAAATATCCACATCTCAAGGGGCTGCCGATTTTCTGAGACAGATTTGGAATAACAGTACTATTGAGGAAGAAGAAAGATTACAATAGAACCAATTCTTCCAGAAGGCAGAAGGTCCAGCCATATTGCTGTGGACAACCAAAGCATGATTCAGGGCACACCCTCCATAGCCTCATGTGTGTGTCATCCCATGTCCTCAGCCCATGGTTATGACTTTAGGACATCACAAATCACTGTTAGAGTTTTTATAGCTGCATGTTTTTCTCTTTAAAATTAAAATATAAAAAAATTTTTTTAAAAAATAATAAAATAATAAAATTAAAACATAGAGGGGTACCTGGGTGGCTCAGTCGGTTGGGTATCTGCCTATGGCTCAGGTCATAATCTCAGGGTCTGGGATCCAGCCCCATGTTGGGCTCCCTGCTCAGAGGGGAGCCTGCTTCTCCCTCTCCCTTTGCCCCTCCTCACTTGTGTTCTCTCTCTCATGCTCACTCTCTCAAATAAATATAATTTCAATAAATAAAATTAAAATATAGTACATTTAAAAGCCATAAAATTTGGGTTTGAAGAATGGATTTGATTGTTTCTCCTACATTACTCTGTAGCTTTCTAGTTTTGTGTAACATTTAGATGAATCTTATGTGATCTATTTTTAATGCTTCAGGCTGTCTCGAAAACAGATGTTACATGAATTGTATATTTTTTTATTTTTAGAGAGAGCTTGCGCGTGCATGCATGCAAGTATGCCCGCAAGGAAAGTGGAGGGCAGGGCAGAGGGAGGGAGAAAATCTTAATTGACCCACACAGGGTTCAATCCTATGACTCTGAGATCATGA